ATTTCCCTTTCCTTGGGCAGATGTGTCGAAATTTGGTTGCACCATACGATACAAGTGGATCCCTTCCCCCCTCCCGCCTCCTCCATGCTCCTCCTCCTCCCTCCTCCTTTCCAACCCTCCGTTCGCTTTTAGGAGTTTCGGAAGCTGATTGCCGAGGGTCAAGTGATGTTGCCCAGGTGGGGTGGGGTGGTTGGTTGGGGGGAAGGGGTGAAGCGATGGCGGGGTTCAGGCGGCCATCAGGGTCCTTATCCTGGTGGTGAAGGCACAAGACGCGCAGGCTCTGGTGCGGCACTGGCGGCCTGATGTGCAACCCGCCTCCTCCTCCTCCTCCTCCTCCTCCTCCTCCTGCTCCCCCCAATCGAAAGATCACCGTGGCGGCCGGCCGCGACAACCATGCGTGCAGACGTGTGGGAAAGACTATGTCTCAGTGCCCATGGCTGCCTGGCCAGCCAGGATTTACGCAAGTCAGTCGGCCAGTCAGTCAGTCAGTCAGTCAGTCAGTCAGTCACTTAGCTAGCTAGCAAAGATGGCGGAGCCCCCACCATCAGCAGGAGTCCGGTTGCCCATACGCCTTTCCCCCTTTCCCCCTGGTTTCCTGGACACACTGGCACGTAGCGGCTGGCACGTATGGAGACCTGGGGAAAAACACACCTGTGGGAGTGGGGACACCGGCAGCCTCATATACTTGGCCCCGATTGTTGTTAACCCCCAACTGCTCCCTCGCGCACCACCCCCGACCGCCTGACCCCTCGGATCCCCCCGCCCGTGTGTGCGTATGTATGTATGTGTGTGCGTGGATGGATGGATGTACGTGGGCGTATGTACTTATGTGGATGTGCTTGTGTGTTGTTATATCTCCCGCCGCGGTTTTGCAGTGTGTTTGCGTTCTTCCTTGCACAGGACGTCCTTCAGGAGCGCCGGCTCATTTGAAACAAGTACCCAACCAACATGGCAACCAACTAACCAACTATGGGCCTGAAGGGAACTAACTTAAGAACCGACCACGGATACCGCATAAGCGACCTTCCATACGCATGTACGACACATCTTTCAACTGTACTGCACCTCGCTAGTTAGGCGGAAGGAAGAGATAAAGAGAGGGAGGGAGGGAGGGAGGGAGGGAGGGTGAAGGAGAGAGCTGGAGGGAGGGAGGGTGAAGGAGAGAGCTGGAGGGAGAGAGGGAGGGGGAAAGAAAGGGAGGGAGAGGAAAGAGGGGGAGAGGGGGAGAGGGGGGAGGGAGAGAGAGAGGGAGAGAAAGAGAGAGAGAGGGAGGGGAGAGAGAGAGAGGGAGAAGGGGTGCGCTGTTACTCAGCAGAGCTACACCGTCGGCCGGCATGTGTGGAAGCGCACCCGCACAGACGCCACATGCTTTCATAAAGGCTCGTAGTACTTACTGCTAGATAGTGCGAGTTAAGGTCGTTGACATGCCGAGCAAGAAAGGCCACGTGCATGGATCAGTTGACAGGTCTAGTATGTGTATATGTGTGTGTGCGCGTATGTATGTCAGTATGATAGGAAATGACACATGCAAGCAGCAAAACGCTCTTAAGTAACATAACCTCAACCTCTCCGTATTTAATGAAACCACCTGCGTGCTATGTCCCGGGCTCACTGTAACACCTACCACTGCTGCGTACTATCTTTGTATGCATTTTTGGTGTGTCCCTAGGTGCGCGTTTCTGGTTATGGTTTTATGTAGAGCATTTATTATGAGCGCTGAAGGATTGCGTGATTTGAGAACAGGGCCCGAAGGGGTGAAGGAGGATGCGAATTTGTGTGAGCGCGAGAGAGGAGTGGGAACTCGGTAGACGGCGCAGTACGGTGTGCTGTTCTTGCCGTATTATCATCATCGCCATCGTCATCATCATAAACATCATTAACAGCAGCAGTACCAGTAGCAGCTGTGGCAGCAACAGCAGCTAATCGTGTGTGTTTAGGGCCGTAACGGTGATGTGGGTCACATGCGGTCAAGGGTCGCTGGGGTCGTAGCTGTTGGGAACCGCTTCTCTTCGGCTAACTCGCTGTCCCGTCTGTCCTTTCCGGTCCCGGTGGACGGCTCGCGACAACAGATTGTGACGTGACCTGTGACATAACGGCGTTGGGCTTAGGGGGGAGTGACCTCTAGTTCATCCCGCGTGTGTTTCTGGATATTGTGTACGTACGTATGTATATATATGTGCATATGTTCTGCGTCTCATAAAGCGAGCGCGTCTACCCAGCGAGGACACATCTACACCTCTTTAAATCAGGGTTTTCGTTGAGCTTTGCCTTATCGCTTTGGGGTTGTACGCGCGAAGAGGTCCCTGCAGGCAGGAAAGAGTGTCCTTGCTTCCACCGAGGGAGGGGGTGAGGCGGCGGCGGTGGCTACCGAGTGCGGCTCTGCTTGCGTACGCTGTAGATTAGGGCAGAAGCCGCAACGGAAACCTGTCAGTACGCTCTGACGCTATGAACTCGCGAAATTACTCTTTCCGTCGCACTCCTGCGACTTACTCTAGCCCTGTACGGTCCAGCCGTACGCACCAACGACATTCAACCGAGTACGCTCTCGGCAAACACGCAGAAACCCTTGGTTTTCTTTCGTTTCACTTAGAAAATCTGTACAGTATTCACCCTTGGCTACTTGAACTTGTATTATTCGTTGGGAAGTGAAAGAAAGAGAGCGTCAAGAGTGCGTGGGTGCGGGGGCTGCATGCTGGCAGCTCACCAGGAGCTAAGTGTGCAGTTCCCGGGGGCTCCACAGGATCCAAATGGCTCGCACAGACATACATGCAGATGTGTGTGCTACACACTGCTCGGTTGCGTTACCCAGAGAGGTGTAACGAGCCCATGCGAGCCAGAGGCCCAAGAGCCTAAGAGAAACAAATAAGAGTAAGAGATATATATAGTACAACGCAAAAAGTTCCAGTACCCAAGCAAAATACACACGGGAAAGAAGGACACTCAGTCAACTATGACCACATGTGTAGAGATGAGCGTGCAAGCCAAATATTATGTACCAGGCGGGCCAGTTTTGAATGCATACATGCATGCATACATACATGCATACATGAATGCATACATACATGCATACATACATATACCGCGCGGGCTACAATCCTCCCCCTGCGGTATTCTAGAGGGCCTAGGAGCTGTGTGTCATGGCAATCGGGGTTGTGCGTGGTCCCTTCTCTTTAATTGGTTACTTCTCCCTTGGACCAGCCCAGGATGGGAGAGGTAGAGGGGGACAGTTGTCGTAAGGAGGTTGCAAGACGTCTTGTGGTTTCTAGCCCGCTACGCGTTTCGTTCTTGGAGGAATTGTTATTGGCTTGTTAGGTGTATCAGGCGCCCTCCCCTGCCTAGGCTGCCCTAGACGTCTTTTTTCGTTTTTTGGATTTCCTGAGAGCCCGTCGTGTTTTCACTACAGCGCCGTCCCCGGACGGAGGTGCTGCGGAGCGGCTGCGTTGTGTGTTGGCAGTCTGAGTCGGGGTCGGGAGCACACAAGACTAACCGACTTGTGCTCTGTGTGCTCCCGACCCTTGCGCTGTGTTTCGCTATCTGGCGCTGCATTATAATGCATACTAATTAGTTGTCTGGTGCTGCGCTAGTTGTCTGGTGGTGCGTTAGTTGTCTGGTGCTGCGTTAGTTGTCTGGTGGTGCGTTAGTTGTCTGGCGTTAGTTGTCTGGTGGTGCGTTAGTTGTCTGGCGTTAGTTGTCTGGTGGTGCGTTAGTTGTCTGGCGTTAGTTGTCTGGTGGTGCGTTAGTTGTCTGGTGGTGCGTTAGTTGTCTGGTGCTGCGTTAGTTGTCTGGTGGTGCCTGGCCTTTTTTTCAGCCATGCCAGCTTTGATAGCACCATGTGCCGCCAGCACCATAGCCGTCTATAGACGGCGCTTTTTCGTGTGCACGCCTTCTAGCGATCCGAGGGCAGCAGTGTAAGCCCCTTGGCCGCCCCGTTTCCCGCTATGGGCCTGTTTCTGTCCGGCGTTTCGAAGGGTGCCCTCATTACAGAAAAAGTTGTGAAGGCTTTATATTGGACATAACTGCAGTTATATATATCGACTCTTGTCGGCCACTGATCGGTCTGCTGTATGTAGCCGCCAGCTGAAAAGCCCCAGCTCCAGCCCCCAGACAGACACACATGGGGAAAATCCAAACTAGGTATCGTATGCAGGAATGTGAAGTCCTACGCATACGGCTCCATTTCCTGTTTGTATGTTGACCCCACCGCCCGGCTCCGCACCCGCATTGGCAGCTGCTGCAGGGAGAGCAATAGCAGTGGTAGCAGCAGTAGTAGCACCAGCAGCAGCAGGGATGGAGAAGTGGAGGGGAAGCAGGAAGAGCAGCTGACCTTGAAGGCCCGTGGTAACCACGGTCTTCACAGTTCATTGAAATTCAGAATGTAACGAAACGCCTGCAAGGGATGTTGTCATCTGACGCATCACCCGCCCCTTCCCCACCATTTCAAACATACAGATAGACACAGACCGTCTTGCTTACCGTCTGACGGTGTACATGTCTGGCTGGACACCTAGGCGTGTGTATCTGTCTGTGTCTGTCTGTATGTTTGGTGTGATGGGGAAGCGTTAAGCAAAGAATCCCCGTGGCGAAATATAAGCCTTGGCCGCTGAGCAAGCGGGCGGGAAGGAGGTGCTCCCCATATCACAACATTTATTCAGCGAATTGTAAGCTTATGCAGTCTAGGCTTTGCTCTAGGGTATTGGCGGCGAACAGAGCGCGCAAGGGACGGCGTTATGTCCCTGCTGGGAGGAGCGAGTATGTCCCTGCTGCGGCACTGATAACCATATTGGGATGAGAAGCACGTCTTGCTGAGCTGTCCGGTGTACGGCGATATCAGATCTGATATGGGTTTCCCACGCGTTAAGGATATGAAGGACGAGCTATGAAGCGGGAACCTGAACGCCTGGTGAAAATGCTGGATATGGTCCCACCGCAACTTTGTCGTTCCCTTTGGTCGATTAGCCTCCTTTATCACTTGCTTTGTCTGAAGTGCGAGGTAGGAGGGTGCTTATAGGCGATCTGGCAACCCTTGAGACCTCGGCTCGTATTAGGGTGGTTTGCAGGTACGGGGTACACAACCCCACGACCATGTAGCACACACACACACACAGATACACACAGACGTAAACACGTCTCCACAATACCAAAATAGATACATCCATTCGTTAACAAACGCTCCCAGTTCATACCTACCGACCCACGGGTCATACGACTCCTTTGGGCACACCCCAACCTGTGGGTGACCGATACGTACAGGTACGAGGGTCACGAGGGTCACGAGGGTCACGAGGGTCAAATTCGACCGATGCCCAGTCCGTGGCTGACCCACGGGTAACTAGGTGTTTTGGATTGGCTATTTTGCCGACCCAAGTTATCAAAGTCAGACCCCCGGTGCCGTCACGAAAGGTCCGGTGCCGTCAGCAGTGCCCAATTTGAGACTCAGACTGGACTGCCCAGGAGGAGCCTGCGACGGCGGAATCCCGTCACCGCCGCCGCCGTCACCGTCGTCACCACCGCCGCCGCCGCCAGGCCTCAATTGTACATCGATGTCCTCTGGTCTCAACGATCCCTGAACTCTAACAAGGTGACCGCCCTGCTGAATGACACCTCCCAACCCACCGCCCATCAGGTCAGTGGGGGGTGAAAACCCAAACAGTTGTTTGCCGGCAGCGACGGAGACCTCCCGATCCGTACCGCCACCATCACCGCCGCCGCCCTGCGGCAGGACAGCAGGTGCTGCTGCTACAGCTCCATGCGGCGGGGGTGAACTCGCCGCCGCCGCCGCTGCCGCCGCTTCGGCTCCAGCTCCAGCAGCCCATGGTGGCGAGTACGGAACAGCCTCCTGAAGGCCGTACAAGAGCCGTACATGTGCCGGCGGGGTCCGCTGTCGTTGCTGCTGCTGCTGCCTGCCTGCTAAGGCCGGCGGTGCTGTCCCGTCTTGCGGTTTTGCGATGGAGCCGCCGCCAACACCACCCGGAAAGGCCCCATGGGCCCCCGCTCGAGGCCACGTCGCCCCTCCTCCCGCCAAAGCGTGGCCAGGCTGTGCCGACCCCCCGCCCTGAATGCCAGTGCCACCGCCGCCCCCAACCCCCCCACCACTGCCAGCAACTACTTGGCCATAACCATGAACCTGCTGCTGCTGCGGCGGCGGCAGCGCTACCGCTTGAAACCCTGCCGCCGGCACCGCCGGAAACCAGCTGCTAGTACTGCACCCTGCCGTACCCATCGTACCCCCACCGCCGCCATCCCCCGCTGCAGTACTCGCATCCCCATGAAGCGCTGCCGCCGCCGCCATTCCCGGTGCCGCCGCTGCCGCTCCCGGTGCTGCTGCCGCCGCCGCCGCCGCCGGTCCCAACCCGTTCAAACCCGACATCCCGCCCGTCACGAACGGCCACTCCAGGGAGGGCGAGCCCGAGGCGCCGCCTTCGCTGCCGCTGCTAAGACCGCTGACTGCGGATCCCAGCAGGTTTCGGAGCACATCGTGGACCTCCTCCAGCTGCGGCCGCTCCTCCAGAGGCTTACGTAAGCACCGCCCCGCCAGGTCTGCATAAGCCGCGGGGCAATGCTGCGGGAAGGAGGGGTAGCCGGCGGCGTGGATGTAGTGCTTGACGCCCCGTACACGCTGGTAGCAGGGCCGGCCGTGCCACATCTCCCAGAGGATGACACCCAGGGCTGTGGTTGTTGAGGTGGTTGTAGTCGTTGTGGTTGAGGTGGTTGTAGTGGTGTGGTTGTAGCCGTTGTGGTTGAGGTGGTTGTGGATTAAGAAGAAGTCAAGTCCCCGAGGGAACCGGGGGGGGAGGGAGAGGGCGTAGGGGAAGCGAGGTGTGCGAGTGAGGATGTAAAAGGAGTGAGAGTACAGAGATAAAAAAGAGAGGGGCGAAGAGAGAGAGAGAGAGAGAGAGAGAGACGGAGAGAGACACACACAGAAACCCCGACTGCGACCAGGAAGACGCGTAACAATAGAGTAACACCCAATTACACACAATCCCCTCCATCACTTACTCAATCACTTTTCCCCCACAACCCCCCCCCCCTCGCCTCACCGTACAAGTCCGAGGCCTTGGTGAGGTTGCCGTGCTGTCGTACCTCCGGACCTGTCGGGAAGTTACACATGATGGGACGTGAGGAGGAAGGGGAGGGGTGGGTGAGGGTAATGGAAACCCAAACAATCGCCATATCGTCGCGTCTATCCAGAATCCATGTCTTGACGAGCTCTCGACTTCCCACTGCTAGCTTCATCAGCTGCAATGAGCCACATGTGGCAATGCCGCACCAGGCTACATCACGAATTTAACTGCTCCATTACCCATGCACTCCATCACTCCCTCCTTCACTCCCTCCTTCACTCCCTCCTTCACTCCCTCCTTCACTCCCTCCTTCACTCCCTCCTTCACTCACTCCATCACTCACTCCATCACTCACTCCATCACTCACTCCATCACTCACTCGCATAAAATGGGGTCCCTGTTCGGTTGTTATCCACACTCGTCTGGCAGGGGTCCATCTTGGCACTGAGACCGAAATCCGCCAGCTTGGCGACGTAGAGGCCGGGCCGTGATGCGCTGGCCTTGAGCAGGATGTTGCCTGATTAGGATTACAAAGCCAACACGTGAATGACCAGAGCAGGATGCAAAAACAGGAAACCGAAGCGGAAAACAAAATTGGGGAACATGGACATCATTAAAACTGGAAATAAAAAAGGAAATAAAACAGGAAAATATACGAGAAAAATAAAACAGGAAAGGAGAATAAAAAATGCAGGGAGAAACAGCGAGTTGGAGGAAAAGCATAAGAGGCGGCGGCGGCGGAGAGAGGACAAGGATCTTAATTAGGATCCGGGAAGCTTCCAGGTGATACTAATCAGGCACGGCCCATCCTTCCCTCCCCTCCCCTCCCCCAACCTACCGGGCGTCAAATCCCCGTGTACGATATTCTTTTTATGAAGGTGTTGCAATCCGCGGACCACATCCAACATAAGCCGTAAGATCATGGGCTGCATGAGATTAGGAAGACGGGAGGCGGGTGGGGGTGGGGGTGGCTGAGAAAGAAGAGTTATAATGACACTCGAGTGGGGGGGAGGATCGCAAGCGAGGGAGGTGGGGAAAGGAACGAAACGCGCCGGTTACAGCGCCACACGGCACGGGGCAATGCAGGCATACGGGGTGGGATTCAGAGGGGTTCGTCAATTGGTGGTGGGGGGCGGGGGGGGGGGAGAAAGAGAAGCGAAACGCCCAGCAACACAATCCGTTTCCCCCGACAACACCTTTCCAAATTACCCTTCCTCCCCCCCCATCTTGCCGCCCAGAGTTCCCCATCCCCCTTTCCCCTCCTCCACAAACATACACACAAACGCACAAACACACACACGCACATCCACGTGCGCACACGCACCATGTTGGGCTGTCCGTCTGACAACTGGAACATGCGGTTTTCCAGCGCCACTCGGAGAGATCCCACCTCGCAAAACTCCTGGGGGTTATGACACGCGTGGGAGGACGTGTGTATGTATGTATGTATGTATATGTGTGGGTGGAGGGTGTTTAGAGAAGGGGAAAGCTCGGCAGTTGACCCCGGAGAACGGGCATACATACATACATACATACATACATACGTGCACCACGAACACACGAACCTGGATGAGGTACAGCTTCCACATCCTAGGTGCCGTACTCCCCGAACTCTGATCACTCAAGCCGCTACGACGACGTGCCGGGACGTGTCCCAACCCGGGGGCCGCCACGGCTCCCTCGGGGGAGGGCCCTATGCCCAGCAGCGTCGAACTAGGTGTGTCCTGACTGCTGTCATGAGGAGCCGCAGGCCTTATGTCGTACGAATACGTCGTTACGACATTGGCGTGCTGGATGTTGGCGGCGATAGCCGCCTCCGTCATGGCGCGCGCTTGGAGCCGCTGATCCCCGGCTGTACGATCCTGAAATTCAATCACTTTGACTGCGACGTCGATGCCGCGCCACGTGCCTGTTGGTTAGTGTTGGTTAGTGGGGTTCGTTATCAAACGGCGTGATACGGCTAGAAGTACGGTCTGTTTTTTGTAGTGATATATTGCGACGGACGTGTCGTGCGCTTCACCGACATTTGCCAATTCATTTGCCAATTCAAATTTACCCCCCCAAACACACAAAAACACACACACAGAGAAACACATACACACACCATTTCTCCCCTTCCCCTCCCCTTCCCTCCCCTCCCCAATGACCCCCCCTCGAGGTATCACCCACCGCGGTACACAGTCGCAAAGCCCCCGCTGCCCAACGCGTCGTGGATGGTGAGATGCTTATCCTCAATCTCCCTGCGAGATTGCGATTGCGATTGTGACGTAGTGGTTATGGTGGTGGTGATGGAAAACGTCGTTGGGGAAATGAATGCTTTGGGGGGAACATCCCGCTCATTTCCCCAGCATGAGCCCCGAGCCCCGAGTCCCGACCCAGAGGAAGCGGGTAACCCTCTTTAATGAAACATTTGGATGTGCACACACCTGGATGTGATCAGGAGCCGACGTGGAGCGTTGCAAAATACTCATTAAAAGCGTCGTCGTCGTGATGATGGCTACCCATCACCACCACCCTACCCGCCCCCCCCTACCCGCCCCCCCCTACCCGGCCCCCCCTACCCGGCCCCCCCTACCCGGCCCCCCCTACCCGGGGCCCGGGGGCCGGCCCCCCCTACCCCCCACCCCCCCCTACCCGGCCCCCCCTCTACCCCCAGTGCCCACCTTGCAAAGTCCAGGATGAGCTGATGCAGCTCCACGTGCAGCGGGGGGGGGGCCGGGAGGGTGTCCGACTCGGCCTCCGCGGCCTTCACCTGCACACGGTTGGAGGTTGGAGGTGAAGGGGGCCCAGGTGGAGGAGGTGGGGGAAAGACGAACCACGAACGAGTGGGGGAGGTAGAGGTGTCTGGTGTGCAGGTGGGAGAAGGGGGAGAGGTGGGGAGGATATCCACCCCAGTTACCCTACAAACCATATCTCACGCACGCACACAAACACACACACACACACGGCTAAGGAAAGCTCCTTTTACCCCGGTCTCCAAGATCTGACAGACTAAAGAGATTTGTAACTGCCACAACGAACATCAACAACTGTCAACTGTAATCCCCTCCCATCGTCTCATGCAGCCGTGTTCCATCCGTCTTTTCCCCCCCCCTTCAAGAACCCCTCGCAGAGAAAGAGGAGGAGGGGAAAAAAGAGAGAAACCCACCAGAAGGTTGCTGGCACGACCGCCTCCGCCTCCGCCCCCGCCTCCGCCATGTCCGTCCGTCATTCCGCTGCCCGCGTCTTCCGAACGAGGCGTGTTGTTGGAGCTGGCGCCGCCGTACAGAGCAGCGGCGGCGGCAGCCGCCGCCGCCGCCGCCGCTGCGCCCTTGCTTTGTCCATCCGGATTCTTCGGACTTGTGGATGGTACCTCAGGACTGTTCTCCTCCCCCCGTCGCGATGACGACTCAGCATCCACGCCGTCACGACGGCGACGGCGGTACAGGTATACGACAGCCGCCGCCGCCGCCACCGCAAGGCCGACAACAAGCGGTACAGCAATGGCGAGCACCAATGCGCCGCTGACTCCGCCACGATCTGAGGCGGCGGCGGGGGGGGTGCCGTGCACCAGCCCCGCTGGTGGCGGCAGCGGAGACATCCTGGCGGTGCCGTATATGTTGGGCCCGAGTAGAGCGTCGTACGCGATGTTGAACGAGGAGTCGGCCAAGAGTGAGTCACTGAGCGTCATGCTGAAGCCCGATAGGAAGACAATCGAGGCGCTGTGAGCGCCAATGGAGTTGGCCTACGGGTCAGGCGGCAGTCGCGACACGCAGTGGGCGGGTTAGGAGCTACCCGGGGAAAAGAAAGGGGTAATATCGGGGGGGAGGGAGAAGGGGGGTAAAACACATCCCAACGAAGTCGGAGGCCGGAGGGGTTAAGGGTTATAGGTGGGCTGAAAGCTCAGTACCGTATAAATGGAGGGGTATGAACATTGTTTAATAGAAAATTTAATTTAGGATCGCTCCCATCTGCATCCGCCAGCCACACAACCGTACAATGCATGCTTCCGTACACGCGCATCCGTGCAAACCGAAATCCACGAAACACCCCACGCGTTCAACCACTACCCCTCTGAACCCTCCCTTTTCCCCCAACATACTAAGACATACACACATACATACAGATGCACATACTTCGATGGAGGAGTTAATCGCCGGCCAGCGGTACACCCCGCCCGCCACGTCCGCCAGCATGCGGTACTCCTCGTACGGCAGTACGACGGTGCACTCGTGAATGAGCAGCGACGAGCCGTTCGACCGAACCACGGGCCACAAGGGCAGGGTCATTTGCGCAGGGTCGCCCAAGGAGTACGACCTTTGCTGACTGGGCATATTGATCAAAGTCAAATTCCTGTGTCGGGGTTTGGGTTTGAAAGGAATGGGGCAGTATTTAGGGTTTGTTTAAGGTTTTTTGGGTTTATTTTTAATTGGAAAATCGCGTCGCATACAATACGACCCAAACATGACACGCCCTAGCTGCCTCCCCCCCCCTTAGGGTAATTAACCGCTAAAGCCGCTGGAATCCCCCGTCCCAGTCTTCTCTTCAGCAACCACAAATCCAAATCCAAAACTCAAATCTATAAAACCCAAATCCAAACCCATTCCAGACTCCCTCGCCCACTTCCACAAGGCCCTCCCTTAAACACCCCCAAATACAATTCGTTGCGGGCCTGTACGGCACCCCCATGGCCCGACTTTCATAAGGCCCACCTGAACGTGAGTGTAGCTCCCTCAGCGAGGGTGATGAAGTGAGGAAGCAAATTGAAATTTAGCCATGTGATGCCCGCCCTGGAGTCAAGGTTTGAGGTAGGGCATGTGTTTCAGTTCTTTCCAGTCAATTCATGTTTTAGGGTTTAGGGCTTTTTAGTTTGTTTTCTTCATGCTACGGGTCATATTAAATAAATTATATTATATTAAATCTTGGCCCCTGCGCATTAAATCTTATAATAGGTTTTAGGCCCCAAGCAGCTTTACGGCATAAGCCCTAAAACCCACACAAACGAGATATCACCATCATCATAACATGTCCTCCCTGCGTTTGTGTTTGTGCGGAAATTGTAACTTGTGAAGCCATTGGTTGGTTGGTTGGTTACGGACCTCTCCCTGATTGTCCGCCACTACGTCTGGAACAATTATTATTGTTATGATTATGATTATACTAGTCGCCATCGTACGTCAGATTTAACACTCTTATGCCGCATTGATACGCCCTAAAAACAAAACAATAACAGGTGAAGAACGGTAAGAATAATTTTTACTTTACACTTTTTTGGCAGAATATCAGAGGCAAACCCAAAAAAGCCAAATTTCCTGGTCTCCCTCCAAAGAAAGAGACACATACAGATGCCGTACACCAATCTGAAGCTGAATATCGCCCTACTTCACATAATCATACACACGCACCTGCTGTACGAACCGCTGATGGTGATGTTGCACGGTATGTTGTACCCCGCGTACGGCCATTTCGTACCATCCAGCGATATGTTGGTGAATAGGTAGACGTAGGTTGTGGTGGTGGTGTACGACGAACAAGTAGCCACCTGGGCCAGAGCCAGTACGTTCTGCACGGGCCCAACACATACAGACGTACATGCACACAGTGTCAGGTCACCACCACCTTCATTCTCACCTTCGTACTTCAAAAACGTACGATCACAAACTTAACCCAAGAGGAGAACAAAACTGCCGAGGTCAGGAGAACGGGATTTCTCCTACAGGTGTACGGGAGATTTACGTACACCGACAGACAGACATACAGACAAACAGACACACATGCATGCTCCACGACACCCCTCACCTGGAGATCGCTGTGCGTCCACACCGGTACGGCAGTCGTGGCTGCAGGGATCTTTAATTCGTACAGCGGTACGCCCGCGCCGCGAGCCATCAGCGTCACGTTAACCGTCGAGTTCACATCGGGTACGAGGCTGGTATTGCGGTACAACATGCCGTACGCGTCCAACTCCTTAAACTCCAGGGAAGCGCCTCTGCTCTCGCTCAACTGTGCTTCCACAGCGAAGAGCAAAAGAGCCATACAAAGTGCATCAGCGCAGAAGAACAAAAAGGCATACGTTAAAAATACGATTTAATACTCATCACTCTCTCCGGGGGGGCATTTACCAGCGAGAAGGGGGTTCGGATTTTTAGGGGTTCGGAGCGCAAAAGGAATCGAGTTAAGGGATCGAGAAATGTTAGCAAAACCACCTAGAAATTATGAAGCTGAAGGGAAATCCGCACCGCACCATCCGCGCACCATCTGAGCCTGAGTGAAACCACGGTGTCCTCTCTGCCATCCTCCCCCTTGCACTTTCCCCCGTTCACCCCGCTACAAAACCCTGCCTCTCGTCCCACTATCGTACCTTTACGTTGTACACCCCGACCTTAAAAGGCGCTGCCTGTGACAAAATAGGCTCCACAGTCGAGGTGACGAATACAGCCCAGGCCCACATGTGAACTGTACGGTGTACGATACAAGGGTTAGGAAGGAGCATCGCCGTCATCGCGTACGGCAGAAGAGAAAGTTCGAGGTACGAGAGGGTATAATCCAAATGGAAAGTATTACGGCACGGCGCTAGGTCAGGAAGCCACGATATCGAGTGTGCACATCTTTCCCCCTTCCTCCCTTGGTCTCCCCTCCCCCCTCCCTCCCCTCCCACACCTCCCCCTCCTCCATTGCCCAACACGGAAGAAAAAAACATTTCCTAGGTGTTTTCATGTCCCCACCTGCCTTCGATCGGGTGTGTTACTACAAAATTCCCCTCCGTGTTCTCTACTTTTTTTTGCTTTTTTAACCGTTCACCCTAACCGTTTTTATTTCTCCTGCAATAATGTTTTACTGTGTCCAACTGCGCTTTGGCAGCATTTGGTGCCGTACGATGGCCCCACCGAGGGCCATCACTCGGTTCGTACAACCGTACCGGGCTGATTGGATGGCTGACTGATTGAAATACTACATTTTAATGAAATTTGACAACTTATAGAAAGAGGTAAAGAATCGTGAAACGGGTAACTCTTCACTTCGTAAAAAAAACACATACACGCACTCGCAGATACGTACACATGCACTTGGAACTGTGGCCTGGGACATCCAATCACATTCATCTGATGATGAGAGGAGAATGTAATTACATCACCTCATTTCGTCCCCGAACTGGACATTCGTATCCGTATCCGGATGTGTCAGGCCGCACCCCCCCCCCCCGGCTGCCATCTCTTCCCTCCATCAGCCCCGGGTTGGACTAGAAAGGATAAAAGTGCAGCAAACAGCAACAAACCCTCGCCCGCAACACGCGCCGCCCTCCTGTGCCGTACACTTACTAACGTCGTACGAGTACGATATGATGTCGCAACCGGTAACGACCAATTGAGTCAACGGCCTGTACAGCAAATTTACACGGGGTTGGAAAACGGTCAACTACTTTGGCAGTGGCAGCAGCACCAGCAGCAGCCGTAATAGCAGCACAAGCACTACCAGGTTGGGTTTAGCACTAGCAGGATAAGTATATACCTAGCCCGAAAAATAAGTAATGCCATATCAAGCTGCATATCGGCAAAGGCTTAACGACTGGTCTGCAGGCCTTCTTAAGCACCCGCCCATTCCCCAAGGCGAAATCTGTACCGTACTCACCACCCAACACAATTTTTTACACACACACACACGCCAGCGTTTCCCACGACACCCATGCAGCGGCGGATACCCCTCCCCCAAACTCCGGCAACACCCCCCCCCCGCCATCTTACTTAAAACCCCCGTTCCCCCCCCCCGCCCACTCGCGTCTCCAAATCCCTCCCCCCGGGTCACCTTCACTCACTTGCTAGGCACGACTGGCCGCTTGAAGTCGAAGAACCAGAGGAATGGCGCCACAAAGCCCAACGCAGTGTACGGCACAGGCGCGTACCCAAACACCATGCCCGTATTAACAAAGGTTAGGTTCGTTAGCGACAGCACCACATCCTCATCTAGATATACACCGCTGACCAGATCCTGCGCAGGCGTTTTCGGTTGGCAGTTAACGGTTATTCCTTAATCGTTGTTGAGGGCCCGGGAAATGAACCAATACAACTAAAAAGAAGAATTTTAGAAACTCGAACTTTTTGTCCTAAATTTTCCATCTAACCCACACGTCCCAAAAATTATGCAACGCGACTTTACCCAAGTCGGCTCGGTCTCAGATTGAAAACAGAACAAATAAACCGACGAGTCCAAATACAACGTGCCTCCGTCGACGTCTCCATCCCATACACACATACACAGTCTTCTACTTGCCTGCAGGTCCAGCACTGGCTCCCACGCACTCAGTGCAGCGGCGTTCCGAGCAAAATTGCTACTGCTGCCGCCGCCGCCGCTACTGCCATTGCTACTGCCGGCGCCCACGATTGAGAGATTGCGGAGCAAGGTCACACCTTGAGCTGCCCACAACGGGCTAGACATGACCAAATCATGTACAACAACAAAAGTCACGGAGCCATTGCCGTACGACCCTGCCAATGCCAGCGCGTTGTACAGGTCCACGTCCGTGAATACCGTGACGGTGGTTTCGGAGAGGCCTGTACGACTATCCGAAACCACTGATGTTGCAGGGGGTCTCCGGCAGGTTATGGTACAGTTGGTCACGTTGATTCCGATTTGCTTCCATTGCCGTACAAACACGTCGCCACTTGTGTTAATCTACGGTGGTGGACCGGGGAAGGGAAGGGGGAGAGGGTATGCCGTACGAACCCACAACATGGCGACACTAAACCCCAATCCATGCTCGATTCACTTCTCATATTTTTCATGGCCGTGACAGTATTCATACACACATCCATCCATCCATCCATCCATACATACACGGTAAGCTCACCACTGAGAAATTTGTGGACCGCGTGTCCGCGATCCATTGCTGGTATTGCGAGAGCGTCCGGCAGTCTGTTTCGAGTACGACATCCGTTAAGGTCAGGGAGGCGGTGGGTTGCACAGACACCGCGAGCAGGAGCTGCGCCATAACTGCTGACGGTCTCACTAAACACACGCCCGTGAGAGCTGCGGTTGACACCTCAACCCCGGCGCCTGCATGCGAGCGGTAATGGACATGACATGGTCGATGAAAGCGCAAGATGGCCAGAAGCTACCTTGCATGGCGCTTACCAGGCTGTAAAAGCAGCACGGGGTAAGATTTGAAAGCGAAGTCGAGGACAGGCCGGGGGCCGTCACGCGGAGGCTCAAACCGCCGGAACCCATCGAGGATGATAGGTGCGCCAGTGGAGGTGCTGACGCATGGCTGCAAAGCAGACAGGTTCTTCTGCAGGCCTTTTAGCATGTTCGTGCAGTCCACAGCTTGTCCGCTTGCTTGCCGATTTCCAGGCTTCCAGCCCCCAAAGCAAGTCAGGAGCACGAGCTGGCAGTACAACTGACATAGCTGCAAGCTACGCGGCTTACTGGCCCGCATCTTGTGCTAGACTGTTTATAGCAAAATCATTATGCTGAAGGTTGAAAGTTTTTCCGTCGGCATCGTGTCAAGAAAAGCACACCTCCAAATCCTTACGACAGTATATCGGAAGGGAAACAGTGGCACGATAAGGGGGCTCAAAAGTCCACCAGCATTAAACAACAACTTGACTTTATTCACAGAATTTTGCCTTGTTTGTGATTGTGTCACACGTACATCACATGTCTATATAAATGACAAATAAATCTTGTCCCTAGTTGAGAAAGCCATTAACCTTCGCCCTAGAAAGCTTAGCCGTACACGGCGTACTGACCGACCCATACAACGGACGAATGTATTGCTATTGCAGCCATCTTTGCAGCCTGTAGATGATACTGCAAGGAAATTTCACATTTTGCTTGTGCATTTGTACACGAACGCTTGCTTGGGGATTTAAGAAAAGTTTTTGAGGGGGCAGCCCTGGTCACCGTGGCTTGGGGAAAAGCCCATTCGGCATTCGCTTTGGACGAAAGCTGGTCATTCTTTGCAAAAAGCAACACCCATTTCAGTATAACGCAATTCTATCAGACTAAATAGGGCGTTTCCAAGCGCGCTGAACTCTCGACACGACGACGGCCATTTGTTTTGTGACACAAACGTAAACCGATGGCACACGGTTCATTTCCTACCGGTCCCTGGTCGCTTTCCATTTCATCCATAACCTGCGCGCTCCTCGTTGTGCTCCTCATTGCGTGACTCAGGCAATGCTAGTCATGAAACGAGCACAAACTAATAAACGAAAACTCGCCTGTCTTTTTGGGCGAGGCCCCGGGCGCGAAGCGCCATTCGGGGGGCCGAGCCCCCCGGGTTCACTGCTGTCAGTCAGTCAGTCAGTCAGTCAGTGGCAGTTACATATCTCGCCCCGCAAAAGATAGCATTTGAATGCTATATGCATACTACATTCAACGGCCAAAGGAGACATTCCAGATAAATCGGAGCGCGAAAGATAGCTTTCCATGGCTGCGAGGTAAACATAAATTTACATATCACGCTCCGCAAAAGGTTTAATATGGAAGCTATAAGCATTCTATAACGAAATGCCAAAGGAGAAATTGCAGATAAATCGGAGCGCGAAGATAGCTTTCCAGGGGTGCGAGTTTGACAAACAGTTACATATCTCGCTCCGCAAAAGATTGCATGTAGAAGCTATATGCATTCTACATTCACCGGCCAAAGGAGACATTCCAGATAAATCGGAGCGCGACAAAGATGGCTTTCCATGGCTGCGAGGTAAACATAAATTTACATATCACGCTCCGCAAAAGGTTTAATATGGAAGCTATAAGCATTCTATAACGAAATGCCAAAGGAGAAATTGCAGATAAATCGGAGCGCGAAGATAGCTTTCCAGGGGTGCGAGTTTGACAAACAGTTACATATCTCGCTCCGCAAAAGATTGCATGTAGAAGCTATATGCATTCTACATTCACCGGCCAAAGGAGACATTCCAGATAAATCGGAGCGCGACAAAGATGGCTTTCCATGGCTGCGGGTAAACATAAATTTACATATCACGCTCCGCAAAAGGTTTAATATGGAAGCTATAAGCATTCTATAACGAAATGCCAAAGGAGAAATTGCAGATAAATCGGAGCGCGAAGATAGCTTTCCAGGGGTGCGAGTTTGACAAACAGTTACATATCTCGCTCCGCAAAAGATTGCATGTAGAAGCTATATGCATCTACATTCAACCTGCCAAAGGAGACATTCCAGATAAATCGCAGCGCGACAAAGATGGCTTGCCATGGCCCAGGTCGGGCCGTTGCGCAGGCGGAGGTGCCAGCCCCCGCAGCGGGCCATGTCGGCAGCCCCCATCCGCCGGCCGCCTTGCCGCCCGCGTCCCCGCCGGCGGCGGCGGCCCCGGACCCGCCGATCCGCCGCGGCTGCGGCCGGCCCCCCAGCCGAGGGCGCGTAGGAGGGCCGGGCCGCCCCGGTCGGGCCGTTGCGCAGGCGGAGGTGCCAGCCCCCGCAGCGGGCCATGTCGGCAGCCCCCATCCGCCGGCCGCCTTGCCGCCCGTGTCCCCGCCGGCGGCGGCGGCCCCGGACCCGCCGATCCGCCGCGGCCGCGGCCGGCCCCCCAGCCGAGGGCGCGTAGGAGGGCCGGGCCGCCCCGGTCGGGCCGTTGCGCAGGCGGAGGTGCCAGCCCCCGCAGCGGGCCATGTCGGCACCGGTCGGGCCGTTGCGCAGGCGGAGGTGCCAGCTGTTGTTCATAACAACAAGTGTGTGCCCTAAACATAACGGCGTTCATGTGCTTGCAGTCTTATGCCGTACATACGGGCTGCAAGTGGCTGCACCGGGGCCTCGCCCCTTTTCGGCTTTGAAAAGCCGCCCCCCTAGTCCTTGGCGCTTTCCTATACCTTCACAACCGCCGCGCTTACCCGCAAAATCTCGGTATGCCTCGTCCCGATTGAGATGTCGAATTCATCCTGTGGCATCTTCAGCTGCTCGTAAAACTCTGCCCAGAAGCGGCGCGGCCACGTTTCCATCGCACGCAGCCATCCCTTTCTAGGCTTTAATCACCCGAACCTCCGCCCTCACCAAACTGCATTGGACATATAAGGCATTTTTGTGTTTTGCGCATAGTGCGCAGCAGGCAGCACCTCCGATACCTTTTGAAGGGTATTACTTAAAGGGTACTACTTAAGCAACGTCTCACCGTCTGGAAAGGACCGCAGGAGGGGAAGGCATTGAAGGAAGTCGAGGCTGGATCGCTGGGCGCGCTGTATGTGCAACATCTCTCTATGTCCAAAATGCCAAACATTTTCTTATCCTCCCCTAGACTGTAACAATCGCATCTCCCCTAGATTTCCTTCCAGTAGGGATGGCCTCCAAACATGCTTCTATAATCACGTGGAATGGTGCCCTTCTTTTGCTCACGTTGCCTGGAGACATTGTACTTGCAGCCCTCTTGCAGCGCTGGAGCGGGCGCTACCTCCGACGACGTTTCGGCCCACGGGTCAGGTGCAGTAATGGAAGCAGGGAACTACTGCTCTACTTACTTCTTATATTCATGCAGAACATGTTCTCCTTAGCGGTTTAATGAGAGTTTAGTCTGCTCGCAGCGGTCTGGAGATCCGGTCAAGTCGTATGTGCGCACGTACTTGTCGTAAAAAATCCCGAGGAGGTCGCACAGCAGTTCCGTCCCTTCCGCGATGTAGTAGCGCCGAATTTCTGTTCTGAGTTCTGGCCGGTATCAAGGAACTTTGCAGTAGCTTCATGTTGCTTGCAGAGCAAAATACGCGCGAGCCGCAAAGCCGTGTCGGATCGAACAGCTTCCACTCGGCTCACATGGGATATATCAATTTTAATCCGGAGTTGAAGCCGTATTTGAACAACATGGATCTGTTCGCTTTCGAGCTTTCTGTTGTCATCCTCGTACATGCGGTCTTCCTCAAATCTACCGCGACTTTTTCTCTATCCTCTCCTTGCTTTCCGGATCAGAGAAGACTAATTCCTCAGGAGTCTATGAAATATACCGCGATTTAGAAATTTGTCATCGCAAACCTTGTGCACAGCAACGTGGACACCTTGTACTTAAGCTAAAGGTCGTCCCGTCCTTCGAGATACAAAAAGCGGAAGGCAATTATGGCCGATGGAAATGTCAGAAATGCTAGTACGCCATTTTCCCCCGCGGGGACTATGTGACCGGCCGGTTTCACATAGTCAATAGAACCTATTAGAAGCACCGCATGGCCTCAAATATTGTTGGCTCGGTTCAGTGGTTGATCGACGGGGAACTTTGCTGCCGTTTAGATTGTGAAAAAGGGCTGAAGCTTCAGTTTAAGCAAAGTCCTGTGCTTAAAGCAGAATCCAATGCAATCTGCCGGGCGGCAGGCACGGCTCGAAAAATCACTCGAAATCCGGGGGGATTTTCCCTGCGCGCAAACCGAGCAGGACTGGTTGCCAGCGGGTGATCACAACCGGCACCCACACACCCCGCATACAGTGACCATGAAGTACATTAACAACAGTCGTTCTTCATGATTGGTTCAGTGCTGGCGTGGCGACCTGCATGCTGAGATCTCTGTGTGGGACATCCCCTGTTTGCACTCTATAAGGCATCTCTGGGATGATGCCCCGGGAAGGACTTGCATACTTTGCTGCCCTGGATGCCGCACTTGGAGGTTCGGCTAGTTCGGTTTCATAAGTAGGCCTCTGATATTGCGCCGCGCTCGCAACATATACACGTGCTCCAAGCAAGAGTACGTGCGTCCAACTACTTCCGGCAGCTGGACAGGAGACGTTGATATGTGAGCGTAAGGGGGGAAATTGCCTTGATTAAGCACTTAGGCTTACCATGATCGGATTGCCGCCTCGGCGGAGAGGGCGTTGTGTAGGAGAAGGGGGGAATAGCTGCGGCGTGCGGTGCCGCAGGCAATGCATCTGGTGCCATGATTGCTGGAAAGAACAGCTTTAGGTCTGTGCGCAATTCCAGATGCATGCACAGTCCTGTACCGGTCATCGATTGCTTGAATCAAGCTGACACACAATTAACGCTGCCCGATTGCACAGCGCAGCTTCTCCTGATCGGACGTGCGCAGCCACCATGGAGATCAGTAACTTTTTTGCTGAAGCTGTTTTGCCTTTTCTGTTACAAAAGTACGATATGCCTGGGTGTGGCCTTTACCAAGTAACCAACTGCCACAACACAACCGTACAACCTGTCAAACGTACGTGGTCGTTTGCTCGTATCCAATACCGACCATTCTGCTTTCGAAAGGCCTAAAAAGTGTTTAGGCGAGTTCGAAAATAGGAACGTACAAGGAAGATGCTTTCCTTGAACGTATGCACCTGAGAGGCGCACCGCAGAGTCTCGTAGCTTTGGAGGTTTTTTGCACGATATTTCACTTTAGCTAAACGTAATTCACCTTGATTGTGATCAGTTATATCTGGCCACTCGTCTGTCCACCGAAAGCCTATTGCTCAAAGCGGACGATCCACACCGGATCGACATATTATTTGGCATCGGCGCGCTGGCTGCAACATCAAATTTGGACTACGCACACTCTGTTCAAAGTAATCAAAAGGTGCTCCTTGATGCAAACCGGCTACCGACACTCAGCGCGCAGCCCTGTCTGTCCGGCATAAGGCCCGCTGTGCTGAGCTCTTAACCCTGCACCCCGCAGTCTTACTTCCTTGCCGCCGCGCCCTGTGAACCCGGCTGCCTTGGCGGCAGGGCGCATCTAACGCGCCTTAGGAACCAGAATTTGCATACCGGCAACGGCCACCGCGTGTGTTACACGTTGGACGTACGATGGGACGCGTGTACGATCAGCTTGAGGCGGTGGATGTTTCCGGCGACAAGTTTCACGAGCCGTTGCCTCTTGGGCCCGATGGACTTCGGTACGGCAATCTTCCGAATGGCATGAAGTAAGTGGGGGGCTCTATGCGACAGAAAGGGGATTGGGAAACAAGGAGGCGGGGGTGTTGGTGGTAAACTCACGGGCGAGCGCGTTGGGTATGGCTTGAACAAATGCCAACCAACCTCACGGTGCTACAACGCGCTGGTTTTTTGGAGTCCTAGTATCTCCATAAGTCTTTTTTTAACCTCTTAATGAATAGGAGCCTAACGAAAACGCTATTTATCTTGTCGATACAAAGCTGTCTAAAACCGTTCGTCGTTGATCACTGAAAACGTACGGCTTCCGACGTGTGACACATCGATGAACGGACCCAAATGCGGAACAATCTGATAAATTCTTTGGTAAAAGATAAAGCGGCGTAAAAAACAAAATTTACATGGCGACGGCCGACCTCGTACCGACCTCGACTCGTCAGCTTGAACGCAATATATTTCTTCGGCCCCCCTTCTTGGTCCGCTCGTCCATGTCTCGTTTTCGGGTTTTTGACCTGTTCGCTCCTCCTGGCATCTTGTCAGGTGCTTCTTTCCGACACGCCTTCCAACCTTGTAGCCTTTCCGACCCAAAATGGCTCATTTGGGTCGCGTCCACATCATACAATTTATAAATAATGTTGTGGTTGGCTCCCTAGAGCTGACTGCTTCTGCGCTCACCACTCCTATCCGCGGACCCTTCCACACACTTATCCTAACGCTTCGGTTGCACAAGACGTATTTCCGTTTCTTGTTTACATCTCTTTATCTCTATGCTTCTTCTTCATAGGGTTTCGTTAAGCAGGGCTGCACCACACCATCATCCTCTGGTCCCAACTGCTGCCCGTACCTTCCAACCGCCAACCGCCCAACCCCCGAGTTTCAACGTGCCCTTTCCGCTTTCACCCCGAGTTTCGACGTTCGCGAGTTTCGACATTCCTCCAGCATGCCTGCTGACATGTTCGCAAGTTGTGAACTGCTACGTGTTACGGCTTTACTTTTTCCATGACTGCCGTTTGTCAAACACCCTGATATGTCATAACATATCGGCACGACCCAACTCCCCTTTGGTCGGACCCTCTTTTCCCCGCCTTCTCGGCCAGGTACTACGTACGGCAATGTGCCAAACCCAAGGGCCGCTGCGCTCTGGCGCTGGCAGTGCGCGTGGGCAGCGTCGTTGAGGTAAAGTGGTGGTTGCGTAGGTTGGCGTTAAGGGTTGCGTTGGTTGGGGATGGTTGCAACGGTTATTGGTTGGCGGGTCGTTGATTGCTTCTGATAGATTCTGTTTTTTCTAACTCGGCCATCCTGGACTTGTCGGTTGTAACGGCTGCCCGTGGTGAGCTTCCCTTCTACGGCTTCCCTTGGCATGTTTGTTGCCTGTTGTGCACTTCAGGGCACTTTAGGGGGGAGTTTTGAAAGCGGGCGCGTCCGGTTCCCCTGTTCCATGGTTGGCAGTTTTAATGGACCGTTTTAGTTCATCCTCTGTTTGTATGGGAGCTCAGGGTTTTCCGCCCGCATACCCTGCTGGCTACGCACCTCTCCAACTCCCCCCAGCCTTCTTGCAATTTGCATATGATTTCAAGCAGCCGCGTCTACAGCTGATTTTTATCGGATGCCATCCGTCGAAAATTTTGCACTTTGCATTTATGCATTTTATGCGTTTTGAGTTGTCTTGGCCTTTGTTATTTTTATGGGTTTGGAAACATCTCGCGCAACTGATCACAACCGATTCGTGGCGCTATCCATTCTTATTGCCATTTCACAGACATATCAAGCATTCCCCAAATCCCGAATCCAATTCGCGCAGGAGGAGGACGAGCGTGGTGTGGCACACATTGTGGAGCATCTGGCATTCAACGCCACGGAGGTACGAACAACCTTACAAACTAACGTACGACCTAACGAACTACCCAACTAACTTCCCACACCCGTGTACTTCTTCCTCTTGGTGTTCTTTTGTTTGCGTTTGAATTCTAGGTGGCTATGGGGCTGCTACGCACGCTTGTTGTTGCTGCTGCTGTTATTCCACCAGGCTACCTAGTTTCTGCACCACTCTTGTCTACCCATTCACGCGGCCTATCCAGGCTTTACCCATCCACGTTTTTCTCGAGCCCGTCTACACTTGTAGTTGTTGTTAAGGATTTAAACATTCCATGTATATGAAACCTTTTTTATTTTTGTTGCAGCTGTTGTTGTCGTTTGCGTTGTTACTTTCGCACGTCCCTCGTTGTTAGGTCAAGGAATGCTCCAGGGGCGGCGTCACCTAGCCATGTCCCCAACATATACATATTTAGGTGCTTCTGCTGGCTTGTTTGCCGTAGAATGGGGAAAATGTTTTCACGGCGTGAGATAAGAGACACTGACGAGAGTATTGTATTGAGCACTGGCGTTGTGTAATAATCACTGAGTGCTGCTAACGCATCGAATGAAACCGCTGCCGTACTACTCGCGCAGTCGTACTCGAATCACGACATCGTACGGCTATTGGAGCGCATTGGGGCGGAGTTTGGGGCGTGCCAGAACGCCTATACCTCGGCCGACGAGACGGTCTACACTCTTACAGTTCCCACAGGGGTATGGGTTTTAGGGTTTTGAGGGTTTGGGTCTCTAGTTTAGGAGGTAGTGGGTCGGCAACGGTGGGTTTTGTACGGACGTGTTTTTCGAGGATTTCACTCCCGCACCCGCCTCTGACATCTGTACTTTTTTGCTGTTGTACTTTGTTCGTACATTCCTCGTTTTATGAAAACCGAGAGAGCTTCCAGACGGAAAGAAGAACGGCGTGACTCCTTCCTTGGGGTCCTCACTGCATCATTGTGTCTTTAACTGCTGCCGTACACAAAAAGAATGTACGATATGTGTTTTGTGTACGACACCCAAACCCGTGAAGGACAAGGAGGGTCTGCTGGATGAGACGCTGGGCGTGATGGCGGAAATGGCCTTCAAGATCCGGTAAGACATGACAGTTATATCGGGAGTTTCGCTTTTAGGCGTTGTAGTATTGCCCTCGGGCCTTCGGCTCGTATGGGTAGTCTTACAGGTATGGGGTCACGCACCCCCAACCATGTAACACACACACACACATCGGGAGTTAAAAGGGGGGTGATGTGTGTGCACGTGTCTTTCGCGACCAGGCCGCTAGCGTCGTTCCCACAACTTCTGTCGTACAAGTACGGAATTGTAGTAGAGTATCCGGAGATGGGAGGGGAATAGAGATGGGGGCAATTATTGAAGGAACGACCTGGCCTGGCCATATCGACTCCTGTTGAAAACCCCGCTCCAAAAAACTGCCCAAAAACATATTCACTCCTAACTTTCTCCGAAACCGCTCAGAAACGGAATCCTTTTTTTCTTTTACCTTTTGTGTACGACACCAGTTCGGGTGATTCCTGTTGCTCCTGTTGCCGCACCCGCTTGTATGTGCTGGGCGTCGGCAAGTTCATGCATCCTGCAACATTCATCAACTGGCTTCCGACATCGACTTCAGACATGTTTTTCATTTGCTCAAAACTCTGGTAGTTGTTGTAGCTTTGGACGTCAGCAGTACTTTCATGCGCTTTTGCCTTGATTTTTTTTTGTATCGTGTGCTTTCCCTCTTTCCCTCCATTCGGCCATCCCCCCCACCCACCCACCCACCCACCCCCTGCCGGCTCCCAGCTGCGATCCTGGGGACCTGGCTAAGGAGCGTGGTGCGGTCCTTGAGGAGTGGCGCATGAGTCGGGACGCGGGCGGCAGGCTGCAGGAGGCGCACTGGCAGCTCATATTCCAGGTGGGAGAGGGGGGGAAAAGGAGGTGGGCGGGGGTGATGTGCGTGTGTTTGCATATGTTTCGGGAAGGGGGGAAAGCAGGAGGTGGACCTTTTGGGGAGAGAAGGCTATGTGAGTGTGCGTGTGAGTGAGAGTGAGAGTGAGGTGATTAGGGGGGAACAAATGTGTTGCTACCCTCCTCTTTCCCCCAACCGACAGCCTTTCAGTATCAGCAAATCAGCTTTTTGTCCAGGCCACAGCAACTTTATGCCAGCTTTACGACAGCACCACTTTACTATTTTTCCGCCGCCTTCACAACTACTTTTCTACACCTACTTCTTTACGGCTTGGCAATACTTTTTCTTCTTTTTTAGTTCTGGCGGCTTAGGTAGGTAGTCTTTCCGACATCTTCTTCACTTCGTCATCTCGAGGTCACGGTCGCCACGGACGCCTTTCGGTCAGTTCTACGTTTGATACACTCTTGCCCTGGCAGCATCTTCAATCGTGTGTGGTTCGTCTTTCCCCCCCAACCCCCCTTTCCTCACTTACCTGACACCTTGCATATATTTCTCCTCTCCCCTCGCGCCTTGTGCGTTTGTGTGTTTGTGTCTTCCTCCCCCTCCCCCCCCCCGGTGGCCCCCAAGGGCTCCAAGTACGCCGACCGACTTCCCATCGGTACGGAGGCGGTCATCCGTCGCGGATCAGCCGCCACCGTGCGCGCCTTCTACGAGCGCTGGTACCGACCTGAGAACATGGCGCTGGTGGCGGTGGGGGACTTTGCAGAGCCAGGTGGGAGCACCCGATGACGACTTCGTGTCATCATCCCGTACAAAACACGGCTTTTTGAAGGGAACTCCCCTCGGTCCCCCCGCAACCCCCTCCCGCACACTTACCGGGACCCCCTCCCCACCCCAACCACCACCATTACCACCACCATCACCACCACCATCACCACCATCACCACCACCATATCAACACCACCACCACCATCACCACCACCATCACCACCACCATCACCACCACCATCACCACCACCATCACCACCACCATCACCACCACCATCACCACCACCATCACCACCACCATCACCATCACCGCCATTACCACCACCGCCATCACCATTACCTAAGGCACTGTCAATTGTTTTCTTTGGGACGTCTGGGCGTTCTAAGGCTTACCGTGTCCCGTAAACTGTCAACCCGTCCTAGTCTATTTGACTTCTGTGTAAAGTATAATTTCCCATCCCCCTGGCCTCGTCTGTCTCCGTATACCTCTGGTAACTTAACTGCTTCATTCGTCAGTGGTCATCTGCGGCCCCCTCCCCCCCAACAACAATCGTGTGTGGTTCGTCTTTCCCCCCCCAACACACAATCATAAACCCCAACCCCCCAACCCCACGTCGTCAGATGTGGTGGTGGACCTCATCCGCCGGCACCTAGGTTCCGGAGCCAGTCGTAGCAGCGAAACCCCGATCCCCCCGCCCAGATTCGAATACGTGCCGCACGCTGAGCCGAGATTCAAGGTGAATGCTTGCGTGTGTACGACGTATGTTGCGTGTGTACGACGTAACATGTTTGTAAGGTGGGAGATATTTCTATTTGTATGTGTCAAGGGGTCACGTCGTCCTTTCTTCTTGTGCGTGTGCATGTGCATGTATGTATATATGTATGTATATATGTATGTATATATGTACGTATATATGTATGTATGTGTTAGTGAATGTGTTGTTGTTCTTGGCAAGCGCGTTCGCAATTCCCCCTCTCGCCCGCTTCCTCAAGCAATAACCCCCCGATGGCTTTTCGGAGCCGGGGACCTCCTGTACAGGTTCTAATCGACCGGGAGACACAGCATCCGGTTGTGTATGTGTCGTACAAGCACCCCCGTATTCGTATTTCTACGCCCGGGGACTTCCTGGAGCATCTGACCCTGAGCATCTTTGAGGTCGCTATCAACAACAGGTGCGCGGGTGGGTGTGTATGTATGTATGTATGTTGTTACAGGGTGGTACAGCTTCACCAGCGGCCCCCTTTCCCGGGGCAGTCCCTGCTCTCCCCTGCGAGAGGGGCACCCTAATCCGTCACCCCATCCGACTTCAGAATGTATTCGTTGGGTTCAGCAACTCACCACCAGCATCCAACCAAATCTAGCGGATCAACGGCGCATCAACTTAGTTCCTGGTCAGCTGATCAAGTTGATATTATCACGTCCTACACCGTCCATATGATGGGGGGCCACCTCCCATTTTAACACTCCTCACACACCCGAGGAGCCGGCAGGCGGGTTTGAACCCGGGTCGGCCGGGAGCAGAAATCAGGCCTTAACCTCTGCCAGCCCTGCCGTGTGTATGTATGTATGTGTGTATGTATGACTTAGATTACACTGTGGGCCGCGAGAGCCGGGGGCCGAAGCCGAAACATAGCGCAAGGGTCGGGAGCACACATGTATGTACGTATGTCCCCTCCTATTTGCATAGGTTGTACAAGATCAGTCGCCAGCGGCAGCCCCCCTTCGCCTCGGCCTCCGTGAGTGAGGAGCCGCTGTGCGCCACCACGGGGAGCTGTGTGCTGTCCGCCACCGCCATGGACGGTGGGGTGGGAACAAGATGTGGCTCTGTGTGTATGTGTTTGTGTATGTGTATGAGTATGTGTTTGTGTATGTGTTTGTGTATGTGGGGGTGTGGAAGGTGCGTGTGTATGTATATGTATTTGTGTTTCTGAGAGAGGAAGGGTGTTAGGAAATGGGAAATCGCAGGGAGTGGCGGTAACGATGGTGTGTGAACAGGGCTGGGGGGGAGGGGTTACTGGGGGTGGGGCGGGGAAGGTGGGGGAAAAGGTGGTGGGGTAGAACCGCAGAATTGGGAAAGAGCTATGGGGCTCTGGGAGTTTTGGGGGGGCAGCGGGATGAGGGAGATGTATGCTTGAGGTTGTTTCAGGTTTGTAAATATTGGTAGAATTAATGTCTAAAGAAATCCGGAGAGTAGTTTGGAGGTTGGCCGTAAGAATGTCACAAAAGTTAATGACCGTTGGATGCCGTACCATGCAATCTGCCTTTCCATGCTGTTCAAACAGGCGAGGCGTTGACCGCATTAGAGTCGTTGTTAACCGAAGTGGCGCGTGTACGACTGCACGGCATAGGGCCCGCGGAGTTTGCGCGAGCGATCAGTGAGATGACGAGCGAGATTGAGAACACGGCGTTGGAGGTAGGTGTACGACGGTACGGTGTATGACAAATAAGACTCGACAGCAACGATTTTGTATGATCAAACTGGCAATTGTCGTATATGAAACCTAGTTCACACTCCCAACACCTTTCCCGACTCCATCACCCTTTTCTCCCCCACCCCGCATGTCTCCCTTTCCCACCCCGCAACCCCATACACAGGCGGATCAAGGGTACTGTACGGAGATTCGGGATGAGTATGTACGGCACTTTCTTTACAACGAATTCGTGACAGGTATGGGCGCCAAGATTCGCCCGCCGCGACAGTTATGTTTGTTGAAGGCGGCGATCGGAACCCTTGCCATGGACGAGCGATACGGGCTCGATCCCGTGTATACATGGCAGGACGTCGTTCGGAATGGTTGTACGATGCTGTGTACGTGCATCATGTACATCATGTGCCGATGATGCAGATGGCCAGGCCTAACACGTAGAGAGCCTAACACACAATAACGCGAATGTGCTCTCCACGTTTTTTGTGCAAGTAATGCGTTGTGTGGCAACGGCAGTATGCCGTACACCCCTGACCTTTCCTTTTTTGTTTCGCCTGTGCCGTACAGGTCAGGAGTACGAATCCCGGCTGGGTAAGACCCTGATCCCCCTCGTGACCCGGGAGGCGGTGGAGCAGTGCGCGAAGAAGTACCGCCCCTGCGACTCGTGCGTTGTCAAGGCGAGTGTGCGAGTGCGCACGCGCACCCAAGCTTGTTAGATCGGGTTACCTCCAGCATTGGGGATTTCCCCGTAGTGCAGGGGGTCCCCAGCGCCAGTCACCCCCTCCCCACCCCCCGCCACCCCGCCACCCCGCCACCCATCTCTAGGTTGTCGACCACTCCCGCAGCTGCACTGAAGACCAGCTCAGAAAGGTACGTAGCTCGCAGACGTGTGTACATATGTATGCGTGTAGCGTGTATGTACTTGGGCTTGGGGGAAGCAGTTTGTGCATGTGTGCCTATGTATGTCTTAGATTACACTGTGGGCCGCGAGAGCCGGGGGCCGAAGCCGAAACATAGCGCAAGGGTGGGGAGCACACAGCACAAGTCGCGGCTAGTCTTGTGTATGTATGTCAGTCTGGTAATGCTACCATCTTCCATCTACATCTTAACGAGGCACTTCCCATCATCCCCGGAGGCACTGTGTGTTTTGGACGTGTCGACAGTTGATTCTCTGTTTCTTATATCACATTATTTCCCGTAAATAGTGTATCACATTATTTCCCGTAAATAATGTAATGTAATGCAAATTTCCCCCGGGGGAACTTTGCACCTGTCTTTCCCCTTCCCCCGGGGGTTTTGTCGTACCCAGGTTTTGGAGCGGGTGGCGGCTGACGAGGCCTCGGGGGCCATAGGGCCCTGGGAGGAGCCCCCCGCACCTGAGTCCCTCATGACGGAGCTGCCTACACCGCTGCCCCTGGAGTCGGCTGTCGTACAGGAGCGCCATTTCCCGGTACGGCGTTTGGGGGGGTTGAGAATGTGGTGGGAAGTTAGGTTGTGTGTGTGTGTATGTGTCTGCTTGACTGCTTGTGTCTGGTGTAGGAGAAGAAGGGTTTTAACGAACCCGGAGCTTATCTGAACAGTGGGAGTTTGAATGGCCACTTGAGGGTGTGTGCGTGAATGGGGGGAGAGGGGGGGTTTGGGGTTTGATTAGCCTCCTTATTAACTTTTGACGTGTGGGGAAACGCGTTTCCTATCAGCTTCCGTCGCTGGTTATATCACACGCGCTGCTTTTTTTGCCGCCGCCCCCCCGCCGCCGCCGCCGCCGCCCAACCCCTGCGAAGAAACTCACCCCACTCTCTCAGGCCCCACTTCCCCCCCCCTTCCTGTGTCTGGTACACTCTTGCCCTGGCAGCACCTTCACTCGTTCACGTGGTTCGCCCTTTCCCCCCTTCCCCCGCCGCCACTGCGAGCAGGCCCCCCTGGATGTGACGGAGCTGACCCTCTGCAACGGCATGAGAGTGGCGTTCAAGAGTACGACATTTATGCGTGACGAGATTCACTTGACGGGTTTTGCCGTGGGCGGCCTCAGCGAGGTACGTGTGTGCACACGCATGTGCGTATGTATGTATGTATGTATGCATGCTGGTTAGTTACTTGCTTGCTTTTAGATGGAGCAGATGCACATATGCGTGTATATTAAGCTTAGGATGCAGCTGGCGTCGTCGGTTTTCTTTTTTTACATCGTATAATTCCGCCGCAACTCCCTCTTCCCCCCCTTTTTCCCTCCTCCAATCCGCCAAATCTGGTGGGTCCTGCTCTTTCCATGGCAGCAGCTTCACTCGTTCGTGGTTCGTTTCCCTCCCCCCCCGTTTTCCCCCTCTGGCATCCTCCATGCCTCACTCGCCAAAGTGGTTCGTTGTACCCCCCTTTCCCCCCGCATATTGATCTTCAGACGCCCCTGGAGCTGTTCTACACGTCCTCCCTGTCCGGCACGTTGGCCGGTCACCTGGGGGTGTTTGGATTCCGACCCGATGTGTTGGGGGACATACTGGCGGGGAGGAGGGTGGAGCTGGAAACAACCGAGGGTGAGTACGACGAGTACGACTGTGAGTAGAGTACGGGGGAATGTAGGGGAAGGAGAAGGGGAGGGGGATTCGTGGTTAAAGGGATTTGCTGCTGCTGACACGCTAGCTTCTACATCAGGTAGGAGAAGGTATAGCTCAGAAACATCTGCGTCAGGCTGGGCTGGTCTGGGCTCTTCCGTTATGGAGTTCGAGAGGCAGAGGCGAGAGGCTGCTCAAACCCCTGTTCTGCTGGCGCGGGCCGTCTCCGTTTGGGGTTTTAAGAGTTTGGGGGGGCTTATGGAGGCTTTACGTCATGATGATCTCTTCCCCCCTTCAATGGCCCCCCCCCTGCCCCCCCTGCCCCC